AGTCCCGTGACAAAAGCTTCAGACAAACGTGGTGTCAACAAGCTGTTTTGAAATGTCATGGTGGGGATCACTCGAAGCAAAGTAATTTGTTTGTTTTTAATTTTTTGGTTCTTTATTTTCCATCCTGCGGATGATGATGCCAAATCAGAATTATCTTTTTTCCCCACCTGCCGGGTGAGGGTCTTCAGATTTTATCAGAGCTGGCCTGCCGCCTCCGCCTCTTGCCCGCCTCCGCGTCAACTGCAAGCGCCAGAGCTCAGTGGGCACTGCCGGACCTCAACCGAGCGCCAGATGTTAGTAGCACTGCCGGACCTCAACGGCGAGCGCCAGATGTCAGATAGAATGTCGCAACAAATGCCAGATAAGATTTCGGAATATAAATATATATTTATATATATATATATATATTTAAATAAATAAATAAATATATATATATACGTATATATATTTATATATATCAGATAAAAATAGATAAAATGCCCAACAAAATGCCAGATATGTCAGAATATGTGTTATAGATAGAATATCAGTTGGTGGGGATTACTCGGAGAAGTGTCCGGTTGATTACCCTTCGGTGTCATCATTGATGGCTTGGAGAAATCCCCCATTGTACTCGAGGATTTTCTCATTAAAACCTTATGTATGGGATATGATATATGTCCCATCATGTTTGATTACCTGAGGGTCATTATCGTGTGTACCATGAATTTACCCTCTGGTAATTTAACATAGCTATTGAAAATGACCATTTATAGTGGATTTTCCCATTATTTTTTTTTGATTTTCCATAGTTATGTTAGTTTACCAGAGGGCAATTTGTTTGAACATTCATTGTAGGAAAATCATTCTTAGCCAAGACATGTTAATCATCAGACTTGGGGATACCCCATGTTACCATGTTCAGAAAGACCCATTGGGTAAGACCGTGTGCACCGATATTGTTTCTCTGATAATGGGGTATCCGGGTATCCCAAAATTTGACAGTTGATTTGACAGCTGATATGTGTGGTTAATGATTTTCCTTATTATGTAAAATGGCAATATGGGTATCCCCTACTTTTGGACATGTTTAATGTGGAGAATTATTATGTTCCATGAGAGCAAGAGACCTTGGGCGTAACTATGATTTGTTTCGGCAAATTGGGGCAGGCGCCGGAGAATGGAATCCCTTGCAAGATTCGCTCTTTGTGCCCTTTTGCGGGTGTAAAATTCATGAAAACCCATGTTATTTATATAGTTCAAAACAGTTGAGCCACATAAAACCGATCGTCCCAAAAGCAATGAGACTACAATGTGGTGCCCCCCAGTCATGTTTGCTTAATTCATAGCCCCATGAAAAAAGTTCGATATATCTACCATAAGTCCTTGTCAAATTAGACTTATGTTCACTACCTTAGCGATCTCGAACGGGGGCCTCACTACAATTCCCATGATATTCCCATTCATCTGATATTAAACACAACAAAAAAATCATGGTTTAATATGTTTTTCCTACATATCTGGAACTATTGATAAAGGGTGTTTGATAATTTTTATTATTAGGGGAATGGGATGATATCCATTTAATATTCCCATTCTAATCCCATGGCAATCTGTTCCTCTGGCGCCATGGGATTCTCAGCACTCGACGTGGCCAGGCGTCTATGGTACAGGTGGACTTTAGGATTTTCCGCTCCACCCGCGGGTGACGGTGACGTCGGTGTGCTGACGAGCTGCTAGGGATTCTCAAGGCTAGGGTCGTTGTTTTGTTCATAGAAACTGTAGCATGATCACATACTACTATTGTTATTTTTTGTTTTTCAGTTAAATAGAAGTGTTCACATAGAGAATCATGATTGACTCTCTAAGTTGTCCTTGCATCATTAATGCACATGTTGATTCATAAGCAGATACTTACTTGACAACTTTCTATCAAGTGTACAGTTATTTCTCATTGACAGCTGTTTCGCAATTATGTAGAGTAAACGTTTCTGCTTTTACTCAGCATCAAACTGCCTTTCCGTTAGGATACATTGATCAAGACTTCATTCAATCCATCAGCTGGTCTTAGCATCACCACTGTGGCTACACGGCCACCAATGCACAGTTACAACGCACAGTTGCTCCAATACTCTCAGTGGAGGAAACAATGGTATCACGGTATCACGGTATCATCAGCTGTACAGGTCACTTTAAAACAAGTTATCATACAGTATGGGCGTAGGGAGTGGTTCTGATCTTCAGGCTTTGGCGCTTTGTGTAGATTCGGATTGAACCGTCTGACTTGTTTGAATTGTTTGAGCAACTCAATATTTTGTCCGTTCAGTGTACCTGTGCATCTATTGACCGTCTTCTTGAAAGATTGAAACTATTGTAGATAATGTGTTCTATGTATGTGTACAAGCCTTTGGATTCAACATACTCGCATGCCAGACTAAGAACAAGCAGTATGGTGATCGGCTTGATTTTAAGATTGTGTCCTCCAAGTGAAGGCAGCTGAAAACCTGAAAGGTTGCTGTCAGCTTGCCATTTTGACCCCATTTGGCAGCGGACCTTTTTTGGGGCTAGGGAGATGATTCATGATGATTCCATATCTTATGGATTTATGGTAAATGGCTTGGAGATGCAAAAACGATAGCTCCATCCCATTTTTTTTTTAGTGCGCAGGATGCTGGTCAGTGCCAACAAGGCCACTCTTCCATGTACTGAAGAAGCACATCAAAATAAGAGTTCCAGAGTGTTCCTCAACCATCAGAGTTGTCTCATGGAAAGATCTCCTACCAGCATAAGCAGCTTGAGATGATCATGAGTTTTTGAAGAGCTCTGTATACACAAGTTCAATCCAGCTGATTTTTCTGGGGAATACCCAAAAGACGTATCTACAGGTTGATGGTCTTGTTTCAAACAAAAAATACAATGACCACAAAGGTGATGAACAGATATGTTTAAATGTTGTCATAAATAGCCAAGTGGTTTGTAAGAGGGACATATATATAATATTACATATACACACCCCAATACATCCCAGACACAAGGGGGTATAGCATGTTATATAACATGTTAGAATAGTTTACTGACCACTTAGCTGATTGCGCGTTGTTTGCCGCATGTTGCACTTTGTCCAGTGCCAGTGGTTTGGGGTGGTGATGGTTTAGTCTTTTGCAATTGTGTTCTTACAGTTGGTTTCTCTACAAGATGGTGGTTTCTGGTTTAAGTTGGGAAGCAAAAGTTGGTTGTTAGAGTAAAACCATTCACAAAATATGTGGAATTAACATGAATTCACTCACCATAATTTTTGGGAACTATACGATTCGTTGCTAAGTTGATATAACAATGTTAGCGTTCAGTTGGTGCTCGTTTAACTCCAACTTAAATGTGGCTGGTTTATGAAGGTAATTGCTTTTGCAGTTCGTGGGAATTATGTTCAGCATAACCAGCAGGAAGGGTAGCCGGCCTGGTTATGACTAACATAGCTATGCTATGGAAAATGGCCTATTTATAGATGGTTTACCCATTAAAAATTGTGATTTTCCATGGCTATGTTAAATAGCCAGATGGTAATGAAAAGCTATTGAAAATGGCTATAGAAAGTTCGTGGATTTTCCCAGCTACAAAGTGGGTTGATTTTCCATAGTTTTTTGTTAACGTTTATCAGAGGGTAATTTTCTTCAGGAATCGGGGACTCTTCCAATGTGAACCAGGGAGCTATGAAGGCTATGAAAGTTGGTGACCATGACTCTTTTTTTTTGGACTAAATGGTTTATGATGGTTTATGACAATGATACTTACTGGTTGGTGGTTTGGAACATTTTTTTTATAACCAACCAGCTTATAACATCTTATAACATCTTATATCATTTTACTAGAGGGGTTAAAACCACCAACCAGCTTATAACATCTTATAACTATCTATAGTTTGTTATTTTATAACATCTTATAACTTATAACTATCTTATAGTTAGTATAACTATGATAAGTATTTTATTAATATCTTATGACTATCTATAGTTAGTTTTTGTTGTTTGTTGTCCGCTAAGTTTGAGAGCACAGCTGTCAGCTGATGAGCTGTCGCTGTGGTTTGCTGCTGATGGGGCAGCCACACCAGCGGTCTCACCTTTTGTGGGCAGCTTGGTGCACCAAACATGACCACCATGCTTCGTGATAGTGTTGGGGTCACAGGATCCATTTAAGTCTCAAGCTGTGAGAAACAAAAGGTGAGTAGCGTTGGACAATCTCAGATCCTCCGACCGTCCTGACTGGGTCCATCGAAGGCTCTTTTGACAAAAGGTTTTCGCGGCTCGCCAGGTTTTTTGCGGAGGGAAACCACGGATCCCAGAAGTGGTTGGTGCTTTCAGCTTTTTATTTACATCCCTACCAGTCAAGATAGGTGACGATCCCAATTAAATGATATTCCGGGGATGAGTTGAAAGCAGCTGGTATCACAGCGGGATCTGTTTGGGTGGCTTGCTAGCCATGGATAGGACATACTAGGACCCAGTGGATCTTTGTTCGTTCAAAAGAATCATTGCACAACATGTTGTTCCGGGACAATCACCGACTACTGCACGCATTATTTTGATTTTTCAATAATCTTGGACATGTTTTATTCACAGCCAACCAGGTGTCAGTAGAACGTTCTCTACAATGTGGTGCCCCCCATGATCTGTTCGTTGGTTTATAACCTGATTGGATATATCTACCAGATGTCCTTGTGAAATTATTTTAGAGTTATGTTCACCAACTTAGCAATTTGTTCAACCCAGATATCATAAAACAACTATAATTCACCATTTTGTTGCGACCAAATTCCCCATATGGCTGACCAGGTGCTGACATCACCACATGGAATGGGGCCAATCTTGTCAAATGATTTGGATCCATTCAGAATGCGAAGATCATTCTTCATGATGTTAATGGGAATATATTGGGAATAAAATGGCAATAAAATGATTCATAATTTATAACGGTTCAGAATGGTTGATGTCTACGGGGTTCATGGCATGGACATTCTCCAATCAAGCTGAATTCCTCCCGGCTGTGGTCCTCTTGGAAGAAAGGCCTGGCTGTGGAGATTGCGGGTGTGGGACTCGGGGACCAAGCAGAGTTTGTTTAGTGGGTAAGAAGCTCATGAAATACTACAGTTAGGTTATAAGTTATTATTATGATTATAATTGGTTGAAATTGTGGGTTACATGAGGGTGAGGTGTGGATTATATATATATATATGGGTTATATATGGGTTATCTATGGGTTGTATACAGGTTATAAGCCACATCCAAGCTGTTGGGAATGTATCATGATCTGCTTGCTGTTGATTGTTTTCCCAGTGATGTTTCTCGGTGGGTTCACCCCAACTAGTTCAATCATGTTCAATATACCCTCTGGTAATCTGTTACAGTTGGCTATTGAAAATGGTGATTTATAGTGGAATTACCCATCAAAAAATGTGATTTTCCATGCCAAAATGTTAGTTTACCAGAGGGTATCTACCAGAAGTCCGTTCGTGAAATTCGAGTTCTGTTCACTAACTTAGCGATCTCGATTGCGATGGGGCACCACCTTGTATGTCCCATAGAAAAAATCCCATCAAAATCTATATTGCCCATTTTGTTTCCATCTATATCCCTATTAAACCGCTACAACCCCCGTTATACTTGTTTCTTTGCTTGGAACTTGTGGAGAGCAAGTAATGTGTTGTCGATATAGTTGCCAAAATGGCCATGCCATTTTGGCTCAAGTCTTCCCCCTTTTGACTGATATGTGTCGAAATTCGCTCTGTCTTTCTTTTGCCATCATGACCGCAATGGAAGCGACTAGTCCTTTGACATTTGAATCGGCAACCTTGGATTCGATTTCGTTGGTGGATGCTGCTTCATCCACAGGGGAAGATTTTCTCATGCTTGACACTCCCAGACTGGACGATGCCCAACCAGCTGAAGAGCCAGCCCTGGGGGAGATTGACCTGGACACAAAAGAGGACCTGGAGGCTCAGCTCCCGGAGCTCCAAAACATCATGGCCAAGATGGGCTTGGAGAACAAACCGGCTCCCCCAGCGGAAGCCAAGGGCTCCGAGCCGCTTGCTGGGTTTGTCCCAGCCACCCAGCCTCAGTCAGCGGGGACCGCCCAGTCCGAGTTGTTGAACCTGCGCATGGACAAGACGGCGGGCACCTTCGAAATTGAAGGGTGGGAGACTGTGATTCCACCATTGCCAGAAATTGTCGCCCTTTTGCCAGGGTTGCTACTCATGGTGAACTACGCGCCCTCCTCTCAGAGTTCAGCAATTCTTCATGGACGGCGTCGCTGGTGGCCAAGATCCTCGAGATCTACGTCATCGCGAAGCGCTCGGCAGCCCACACCGAGACGTTGAAGGTCAAGCACACGACTCAGCGAGGTGGATCCATGGAGAACTTGAAGGAAAAGGACCCGGGGGCTGTCCCTTCTATGGTTTGTGCGGTCTGCACTGCTCCCTGAGGGTTCCTTTTCAAAATTTCTCTTGTGCAAGGGCACCTCTCCCATTGACCCCCACGTCAATGTATCCAGATTCCTTGGTGCCTTTGGAGTCTTGCAAGACCCAGGTCGGACCTGAGTCGCTGAACCTCAGCTGCCAGGTTTGTCCATCCACTTCAATGACTGACAAAGAAGGCCACCTAAGGTCCAATGGAGCCTGGTGGTCGCGGCTGTTTTTGTATTTGGAGTGGTGGTTTGATCACTTGGTACTTGCAGCACCCATCGCGCGAGCCCCTGGCGTCGGCGGTCTGGTGGAAATGCAGCGTGACACCACCACTAGTTTTGATGGGTTCCTGGAGGGAACCATGTTGATGAAGATGATGCATGTGGCATCAAAACAGAAACCCAGCCGCACAGGCTAACTGCATAGCAAAAGACGTAGTGCTGCTGCAGTTGCCTGCTAGTGAGGCAATTTTCAATTCTATCCGGGAACACACACACACATATATATATATATATATAATTATATATATATATATTCCATGATATCCCAGTTGTCCCAGTTGCCTTGCAGGACACCGACATGGCTACATACATCAACTACGGTGAAGGGGAGGCGCGCGCCTGAAGCTGGTGAGCTTCGGCCAATTTACCCATCCGAATTGAGGTCCGAAATGGGGATATAGTGGGTATATAATTGATATCAAGGATGATTTGCTTGGTGGTTTAACCTGTTTTAAATGTTCAATATATAGAAATGGGATGATCCTCATTGACGCTTATTTTTTTTAAATGTGGTTGAAGCCAATAAGCAACCCCTGTTGGTTCATGATTAGTCCGAGAGTTGTACTAACCATGGTTTTGGGAATAGGTTCAAATGTTTACGACCAAGCATAGATCGGACATGTGGCTGCCATTTACTACTGATTTTAACAACCGATGTGTTTGTATGGTTGTGTGGTTCAATAATTCAAGGGGCCTTACCCACTTGTTTTGTTTAGTCCTGTCTGTCGTGAATATTTTTTTGTTCTTCTTGGGCACTCTATTTTTGATGATTAACTTTGCCAATTTCCCTGTATTTTCCCATCGTTTCCCCATATCATACCCTCTGGTAAACGTTTACATAACTATGGAAAATCACAATTTTTAATGGGAAAACTCACTATTTCTATGGCCATTTTCAATAGTTTTTTGTATGTTTACCAGGCCGGGCAATTTTGGGGATGATCTGACGCGCAGGATGATGCTATTGTACAGGGTGCTGAGTGGTTGCAGTTGGGATGCCCAGATCGCCACGGCCATGGCCGCCATCCGTGGGATCCGCTTGGCGACCAAGATTTGCAGCAAATTTCAGGTTCATGGTTCCAAAGTGGTGGTTTGGCCCACAACAATGAATAACATATTTTTAAAAAATGATATATATATATATATTATATATATATAAACCAACTATTATTACTATAAACATATTATTATTAGTATTATTCATGTTTTTATTTTTATTATGATTATTATTTTTATTATTAATTGCTCGAGAGATTTTATGGAGGTATGATTCAAGATTAATTTTCATGATGGGGATTGGTTGCCAGTTAGGCCTAAAATTCAGGTGATCCCGAGCCACGGTCGCCAGGGTAGGGTCACCTGAAAAAAGGGACAAGTACAAAACCCTCGGAAGAAGTGGGACCGATCAGTTATGTTAGTTGGCTTACAAAGCCATCCAATAAACCTTAGTTAAACAAGTGTTGCTAGCTAATATTTTTGTTGGATTCAATAAACCTTAGTTTAACTATGTCTGTTAATTCTGGGACCAACTAGAATCAATAATTAGACGAATAAATAATTGTTGGTTCCAACTAGTTGGTTTAAACATAATTTAAATAATTCATAAACCTTAGTTATTGCAATGATAAAAATCAACTTAGCTGTCTAAGAGCCTAAGGCCCCCGAGCGAAGAGGGTATATTTCCGTGCCTTGATTAGGCCGTGTTTAGAGACCCAAATGCTTGGACACACACACACACACAAGTTGCACCAGAAAAAAGGATAGAACCCGGACGTAGACTCCACCTGGGGATCAAAGCCTTCGTGACTTTCAGAGACCTGGCCGGGCTTAGCCCATTGTGAAGAAGCTATCCTTCCAGGATTCAGAATCATTTCTGTGGCCTTTGGGGAACAAATAGTGTGTTTGTTGGGCTGTTATGGGCTGTTGCATCGAACGTGATGTATGTCCTAAATGGGAACGCAATGTAGACGGCTTGCGTTTTGCTCTGAATCCTTTCCCGTGAGTTCGCCCCAGAGTTAGGGTTTGGCGCACAGATGTGATAGAGATGCTAGACCCTGGTGGTTCATCCCATTTGGCAAGTGGGTTTTAACTTTTACGCACTGGAAATTGGCTAGTTGTAGGGTTAGTCCACTTATGTCCAGTAACTGGGGTTATAACCTAGTTGCTAAGCAGGAACCTCTCGAGGCCTCCCAGTAACGATTCAGGCGAATTCTGCAGCAGCAGCAAGGGCCAGAAGCAGAAAGGGCGTTCACAGAGAAGTTCAAAAAAGAGTTCAAGGCGGGAATCTTCCGGGTGTATAACCCATAGGATCCATGGTGCTGGTATATATGCTAACATTGGGAGTATATTGATGGGATCCATGTTACCATATATAGCACCATGGATCCTACGGGTAATGGGAAATATCATGGGGATGTAATTATTGATTTATTGGATTTGTCTGAGAATTGGGGTATCCATCAGCCTGGCATTTTGTTCAGAGAAAACATGATGACTAAGCAAGGCATTAATGGGTACACCATATTCAGGCAAAGCTGAATACTTGGAGAATCATCTAAACAATTGAACAACCACCATTTATAGATTATTTTCCATAGCAACCTCCATTTAGTTCGCGGATTTTCAAGCAGCGTTTGATTACCAGAGGGATTAGAACCCCACTGGCATTTCAACTAGTGTTGATACCCCTCATGAGCTGGAAAGCCCCGCTTTCCTTTCACGATTGTTTGACTGTAGCGACCTTCCACGGTGTCATAATATGGATTACCCTCTGGTAAACTAACATAACTATGGAAAATCACCATATGTTATGGGTAAATCAGCTATAAATCATCAATTTTCAATAGCTATGTTAGTTTACCAGAGGGTATCATAACCAATGAATACACATGAACAGATTTGTGATTGACCGGTTCAACCAACAGATGTAGTGGGATGACACTTTGGCATAATGCGCGTGTAAATGTTGAAAGGATTGGTCCATCTCGGTGCTGTTCATCGCAGGCTCCCAAAACATCATTGGCTTTAAATCAGGGGGTGCGTAAGATGTAATTATATGGAGGTTTCCTAAAATGGGGGTACCACCAAATCATCCGTTTTGGTAGGCTTTTCCCATTATAAACCATTCAGCTATTGGCTATTGGGGTACCCCATGACTATGGAAACCACCATATACTGTCTTGTTCCCCATGCCCACTTCGGTACCCGATACCTGGCTCGCATAAAGCGTATCAGGATGCCCAAGAGAGCAACAAGAACCGGTGCGGGTCCTTGCAGATCGTGGGTCGTGGACATTCGTGGGGACCATCCCCGAGGCGGTCATGAAATTGGGTAATGAATGGAACGTAAGGATTGTAATGGATATACCCTCTGGTTATTTAACGTAGCCATGGAAAATCACATTTTTGTAATAGGTAAACCATCTATAAATGGGGCATTTTCCATGGCTATGTTAAATAACCAGTGGGTAGCTATATAAAATACTATGTAATAGTGGGTAATAGTAATAGATTTTCATAGTTATATATCTATCTATATATATATATCCCACTAAATTACCCACTATATATATATATGTGTAAGGATATGTGGTATGATGAATGGATATAGTGGTTAATAGTGGTTACTAGGGGTTAATAATGGTATCTAGTGGTTACTAGCAGTTAATAAACCCAACAATAATTGGAAAGTTGATTAGAATGTGGGTAAAACAATGTGATAAACCACCCATGACTGGGCATGGTAAATTTCTACCACCTATATATTTACGGTGATGACTGGGGGATGGTTAGTTTATGGCATTGTTTGACCCCCTTTTCTTACCTCGATATGGGATGATGTGTAAAATGACCCCTATGGTTTGTGAATGGGATGGTGGCATTGGGTGCATTAAAGTTTATCACAGTAACTTGCTGGTATCATGGTCGTGATGCGCCCTGCGCCCAGTTGTATCTGGAGCGTCACCAAGTCAAATGGTTGTCCCCACAGTTATATTTGGTTGTTGTAGGGTCTATCCCCCTACTTCTGTTTGTTGGTCTACAACTTACAACTTTTAACCTAGATTAACAATACACACATATATATACATATACACATATATATATATATACATATATATATATATAGATATCCCATAAAATCCTAACAGTCAACCAATGAATATGTATTACAACTCCGATTTACGACACATCCCCATTTTGCTGGGATAAACCAGTCAAATCCCCATTTTCGTTGGGATTTCAGAACAATCTTCAGCCATAAATCACCATAATCCAATTTCTTGATTTGTTTTGATGGCAAAATCCTAATTTTTCCTCCATTTTTCACGGTTAAATCATAGTCAGATCGAAAGTTCATCACGTCGTCATGTCCAGAGGTATGACTACGGTCCCGTCTTCGACTTGCTGGTAGAGCATGCCAAGGCGCCAGTCGTCGCCTTTTTCCGAATTTCAGTGGGGAAATATAAAGGTAATATTGGGGAGATCTTGGGGATATATTGGAGATTTGAAGATATATTGAGGATATATGATTGGGGATTCATTTTGGAGACAGATTTTCAATATATATATATATATATGCACCAGGCCCTGCCACCCCCCCTCCCCCCCCCATGGGATGGGTCCCATATTGAGATCTTCCCCTTCCCCCCCCTGTGGTGTGGTAGGGGTGTGATACTGTCCCCCTCCCCCCCCTGTGGTGTGGTGGGGGGTGTGGTATGGTATGTTGGGTGTGTATGGTGTGTATGGTCTGTCTGGTTTGGCATGTTTGGAAAGTATGATATGTATGGTATGTATGGTAGGTATGGTATGTATGGCATGAATGGTGGTATTGTATGGATGGTAGGTATGGTATGTAAGTCTGTTGGGTATGGTATGTTTGATATGACAGCATGTATGGTCTGTATGGCATGTATGGTTACTATGGTGGGCATGGAATCTTCCTATGTAAGGTAGGTATGATATGTATGGCATGTATGTTTGCTATTGTATGTATGGTAGGTGTGGCAATTATGTTTCATATGTATGGTATGTGTGGTATGTATGATAGGTATGATAGGTATGGCATGCATGGCATCATTGGAATGTATGGTAGGTGCGGTATATGTTAAGCACATGTAGTGTTGTCAGAGTACACAGGTAGTAAATAGGAAGTAGATACATAGCACATGTATATATGACTATGGGTAGCACGTAGGCGTCACGTGGGTACTTTGAGGGAGTATGTGTGCTGCGTGGGTTGCCGAAAAGGTAGCATGTACCTAGTAAATGCGAGGCTGGTAGTCAGAAATGCTGTAAAGACCTAGCAAATACGAAGCTGGACCTCAGAAATGCTGCCAATAGCTTGCAAATAGAAGGGAAGGGGGGGGGGGGTACCTGGGGACCCAACCCATTCGGGGGGGTGGAGAGACGGAGGACGGGAACATCTATATATATATATATAATGGAGATATAAACTAAAAATGTTCTTGTTCGTTTTGCATCATCTGAGGGTGGCTGCGAGACACAAGTTGTTTGCATTCTGTGTTGGAAGCAACGGTCGACGTTGGATCCATGATATCCATGCCTTCTGGCATATATTATGGTTATTTAGGTTGCGATGACATATAACACACCCAACAAGAAATTAATGTTTGGTGTATCTCAATGACCCAATGGATGGATAGAACATGGATTCTCCTGCTCATTCAAGATCTTAATCATGGCTAAGGAGATACCCTGCAATGCCAACAACAACTAAACTACTTGTTGGCTGGTTGACTTCTACACATTATGTTGCTTAAGCACCCATTTTTGATGGGGAAAACCTCTATCTACCCAGTCTGTTTATCCAGCTATATCAGCAAAATCCTCCCATGCGTGTTCAATTTAATCCCATATTTCTGTTGCTTAAAATGGCACCATCCGGTTGACCCAGATAAAATTTAAAAAACAACTGGCAATATCAGCAAGATGTGGCAATGATCCCCGGCAAAATTATTAATTCCCTAGTTGATCACCAATATTACCATCATATTCCCACTAATGTGGTTAAAAAAATAATAAACCATCCCCCAAATCACCAGAAATAGGAGGTATAAACCATTCCCAGTCATTGGTGGTTTATTGTTGTTTACCCACTATATAATAATTCATGTTGCTTGTTTCTAGGTACTATTAATATTCCTGGCTTGCCTCGTATCTCTTGGTTATATCATATCCCAATTTCAGCAAATATCCCCCTTGTAAATCCATTGTATGTCTTCGCTGAATCCCAGTGGATATGGAGATTTAATGATGTACATATGTACATATAGTGAATACCTTCTCCAAGAATACTTCTTTCAGACTATATATAATATAAAATCATATATAGCCCAGTGTATAGGCTTCCCCCCTTTTTCCGGTGAGCAGTGTTCAAATCATCTGTCCATTCAATCCTCGTTGGTCCAGAACGGGGTTCCCAGTGAAAATGGATGATGATAATCCCAAACAATGTTGGTGAAACAACAATAAACCAACCATTTGGGAATGGTTTATACCAGTTTATGCCACCTAGTTTTGGTGATTCAATATATTGAATAGATTTGAAAAATGTGATCCCCTATAATTACTCATCAACCAGCCATCAGTTATCAACTATTCATCCCCATAGTTCTCAATATTGGTTAAGTTTCCACTAGTCACTAAGTAACTAATCAACCAGCAACCAGGGTAGCTTAATATCCCTAAGTCACCATGAACCAACATCGGCGGCAGCAAAAAAGAGAAAACACTTTTTTGGAACAATCCATATTTGCATTACATATGTTGGCTTTGGGAAAACTTGGGTACATGTTTCAGAAAATGTCCCCAATTTTCTGTGATCCCTGTCGTGCCGGTGCGTTGTTTGGCAGAACCTGTTCTCCGCGATCCCAGAGAACAAACCTGAGGAACGCCTCAAAGAAATTGAGGCCCGGCACGGCTGCAAAATCACCGGCCCGTACAGATGGTTATTGGTTAATATCTATTTTGGTTAATAAAAATTAATCTTATATGCACATGTATATATAATTAAGGAGGTTTCCATAGTCATGGGGATACCCCCATAGCTGGATGGATGATTTGGGGGTACCCCTATTTCAGGAAACCCTCAGATGTTCCAATAAAACCTCAATGTTTATCATGCTTAGATATTTTTAGTTTATTTCTCACCTAGCCATGTTTGATGACACTCAAGCGTACAATGTGAGGCCCCCCAGTTATAAGTTGGCTTATAAGCCCCAGTAACTATAGTTATAAGCACCATAAACCACAGATATTGGAGTTATAAACCAACTTAGCTATCTTGGGGGCCTCACATTGTAGTATATTTATTTTGGGGTGTGTTTTACGTTTGCAACTGGGTCTACGACGATCAGAGGACTGTTGAGTGAATGGAATTCCGGGATTCCGGGATGCGGCTGAACGTGTTGGAATCAGGCAAATACTGTACTACAGGATGGGGCCCCCCAGTGATGTGAACATTGGCAAAAAAACATGAATTAATCCCCATGAATAATATAGTTATATCTACCATAAACCATAGTTAAACCACTTATAAACCAACTGAACGCGATCTTGGGGGCCCCATCTTGTAGTATTTTGTTCCTTTTACTTCTTTTGGAACATGTTTCAATGCGAAGCTGTCAACATATATAATATAAGACTATATAAGTAATCCAAATATATAGAAAGGTAATGTATCACTATTTTAGTTGGATGTTTTTTTGTTGTTCTTGGTTTTGCTATACATACGATTCATATCATATGATATTTTTTTGGACACTCAGATCACCAGATTCATGCACTCTGTGTGAATCCCGGATCAAAAAAACGATGATTTGATTGAGGCCGCTTACCCCCTAAAGATCTAAATAGTGATCAATTGCCATGAAAGTTGGTACCTCCTCTAACAGCACTGAACTGGGGCTGTATGAATCCTGGGTTAACATTAAAGTCATTGCCTTACTGCATATCTCAAGTGAGGAGCTTCACAGCTCCCGATTGGTTGAGGATTTTTGTCATAGGTTATTATACTATGGACCCTTTCTATATTGGGAGGTTATCATGGATTATCATGATTATCTCATCATCTCTGAAGCGGAAATCCCCGTTAAAATTATACGGCAAGAGACCCCAAACAGTGCGAGGGGGGGGGAGTAGGATAATGATATATTTTGATGTTGATGATGGTGAGGATACTGATAGCAAATGAACAGGTCTCTGCCATTGTAGTTTGACGCTGACAATGTCGGGACAGGCTGAACAACGTCATTTGGAAACAAAACAAACGAAACACATATCACAGATGCATCGAATGCTGCGGAAGTGCAAAACGCGACAACGCAGGAAGAGACGGAGAAAAACACAATGTTGAAAAAGAAGAGGATGATGATGATGATGATGATGATGATGCTGATGCTGATGCTGATGATGATGATGATGATGATAATGATGATGCTGCTGGTGGTGCTGGTGCTGGTGCTGGTGGTGATGATGATGATGATGATGATGACGACAGTGAGGATGATGATGAGGGTGAAGGTGAGGATGACCATGATCGGCCCAGAACCTAGGAGCACGCTTTGCGCAAGCCTGCGCAGTCGAAATGCAGGTCAACATGTCACAAGAGCCACTTTAGACGGGAATTTGGAGGTAAAATGCCGCAGGCCAGAAACTAGGACCACACTTTGTGCGAGCTTACGCAGTCGCATTGCACGTCAACATGTCACAAGAGCCACTTCATACTTCATACAGAAATTTACAGGGAAAATGCCGCGCCCCAGAAGCTAGGACCACACTTTGTGCGAGCCTGCGTAGTCGAAATGCACTTCAACATTTCACAACCACCTTATACAGAAATTTACCGGTAAAATGCCGCAGAAGCAGGACTCGCACTTTGTGCGAGCTTGCGCAATCGAAATGCACTTCAACATGTCACAAGAGCCACCTTAGATGGAAATTTACAGGTTGGAAATTTACAGGTAAAGTGCTCGAGACCAGAGTGAGCACCCTGATCAAGCACAGGCCTTTAGACTTACCGTAAGACCACCTCTGTGTGGACACACTGTTGGGGAAAAACAGGTTTCCGGTTACCAATTGTTGATTGCAGATCTCACGTCACGATTTGTCGCTTTATCACAATTATGTTTGCATTTTTTCTCAACAGTTTCTAACATTAATAAACTTCGAAATGGTTCTTGCATCAAAATCAGATGGCTTATCATTAGGCTAGGATCTTAGTTTTCATGAGAATTTGGCTGGTTACATTAGATACACTGGTTACCATTTTTACAGAATCTGATCGTTGGCTTTAATATCTCCTGTATCCCCGGATTGCGTCTCTAAGCACACGATTTTCCAATTGCAGTTTTCCTGAGATCACCGTTCTCAAGCGTTTTCGCTGCGCCCAGAGCTTCTTTGCCCTGATTTTGAGTATGCTGCTCCTGCTCGAGGCTGGAACCCGTTGGGAGTCCTTAGAGTTGACCAAATTCGAATGATAATTGCGGCCTTGATTTGTGTAGCTTCTACAAACTGGGGATGTCCCACAGTATTCAATGGCTAGTCTACAGGATTTGTTTGGTTGGGATTTATGAAATATGTTTTTTGTTTATACAGTACTTACGCTGGTATTTGCTAGTGATATAGACATGGACAGCCTAAATTTGGCGAGTTGCTCAAAGATGATGTTCGATGCTGACGCAGAATGATGGGCTAAAATCAATGGGAACTGGCATTGTTAGTATTTTGTTAGTATTATCCTCTACTGACTATTGCATTTGTTTGAACCTAGACAAAATTCGCACTACTCAATGCGGTGTTTTTTCATTGAAGGAGTATGTGTGAGGATTTGTGGAACTTGGGCAAGAAATTGAAGTGCATAAATTGTTCAAGAAGGTACAAGGTGGTGCCACCGTTCGATAGCTAAGTTGATGAACATAGATCTAATGACTAGGACTAGTACTTATGGTAGATATATCTTAAACTAGATTTTTTTTTATAGTCAATGGATGCCAATGGTGTTATAAAATTTATAAATCAAACATACCGTAGCAGGGGCGCCACCTTGGAATGACAGCATCTCCACTGGTTGAGGGAACGGTGCAACTCTAAGGATACTCTGATTGTAATCCTCAAATGTGTCCTAATCCTATTTTGATAGAGTACTATGAACATATCCATTGTCAGAAAATTTATCCTTGTGTTGATTGTATGATTATATACATAAACACACCTTTTTCACATCAGTTCGCAGATTGAACATCGACGGATCTGTCCGGACGTGTGGGATTATCCCCCATCCCGGGTGTGTGATTCGTAGGTTTATTCCAGACAATGTCTTAAATATATATATATACATAATTATACACAATATACATATATTTATATATATGTGGATGTTTGCATACTGACCACTGACTCCCTGAAGTGGATCATGGGGAAAAAAATGCTGAGCCTCCTTGGTTCATTGTGACTAAACAGCAAAAACCATGGTTTCCTTTAGATTATCCCTGAAAACTCAATCCACGCCTCTGAATATATCTTGTCTTTATTAAACTTGCCCAATGTAAAACATACAGACAGACAGACACACAGACATACATACATACAGACAGACATACAGACATACAGACATACAGACATGCATACAGACAGACATACAAACATACAGACATACAGGCATACAGACATACATACAGACATACAGACATACAGACAGACAGACATACATACACATACAGACAGACAGACATACAGACATCCAGACAGACAGACATACAGACAGACAGACATACAGACATACATAGAGACAGACATACAAACATACAGACATACAGACCTACATACAGACAGACAGACATACAGACATGCAGACAGACAGACATACAGACATACATACATACGCACCAATGTCCTTTAGGATATTGCCTGCATATCCTTCTATCCACCATCCAGAAGCAACTGGTTCCCAGGATACCAGCCATTTGGACAGAGCCACCACGCAACTCTGTGAGCTCTTTAGTGGAGATACAGAGCAGTTGTGGCGTCCCAGTTGGGGAAGGTTACTGTAGCCATATTTTGTGGGTAGACAGAACCAACAAAGTATGGGAGCATTTATATGTATATATATATATTTACACACATATACACAGTGTACATATATATATATATATTTACTTATATCAGTGTACATATATATATATATATATAAGTATTTTTAAATACAGTATTATACATCTAATATTACAGGATGTTATTCGATGCAATGCGATGGAACTGTTAATTTGATGTCTAGGTTTGTTCAACAACTCAGGATCCACCTGTGTTTTTTTTGTTTTGCCTTAGAAGTTTTAGCCCTGGAAAAAAAACAACTAAAAACAATCATGTTCCAACTTGGATGCTGTGCCAAAGCCTAGACATTTCTTTTTATTGTGCAATTTGACGGATACCTGCATACCCTATCATTTCTCGACCGCTAGAATAATCTATTGTCTATAGTATACCAGTATGTATTTGTACCATATTGTGTACCTTGATAAGAGCATGTGGTTTCATTGACAGCCGACAGTCAAGTCGACAGTCGACAGTGAGGCAACCAGAGCTGCGATTGAGACTATTGATGATGCTCTACAACACCTTCAACAACCCGACCTTCGAGCTTCTAGGCTCAAAAAATGTGATCCTAACATGAGAAGGAAATGGTGAAATTGGCTAGTATGAACCATACTCAAAGTCTTGCTGAGGTTGCTTTCAAGAATATTATCACATGTTAAATTATGTCGTGCGTTGTTTCATGTTGGTGTCATGTTGGGAACGGATACCACCTGAGTCGGTTATCAAACATTATCAAACTATCAATTTGATATTTGCAAAGTTCAACACATACTACAAATGAATGTGTCTAAAAGGTTACAAGGAAAACCCAAAATCCAATGGTTAATGTGTTTTATCTTTAAGATTTGTCGTCAGTGGGGTTATACCCCATTTTCAGACACACCCAAATATTCAAATACTTGGGGGGTGCATGCCAGGCATTGTGCAGCAAGTGGGTAGTAACCCTTTTTGTATCCCACTTATAATCTATATATATATATAATTACATGGAATATATACGGGTTCTACTATATATATATATATACAGGTCAAAAACCACTCACCATTTGGGATGCACATCCAAATATTCAGCACAGTACGTGCTTTATTTTTCTCTTTTCAAATTTGTGACAAGTCTTATCAGATCTTCCCAGTGGACAAACACTTACAATGCGCCTTCTGGATACAGGTGCAATCTCGCTGCCTCTCCCTCCCTCCCTCCCTCCCTCCCTCCCCCCTCCCCCCCCCCCCTCTCTCTCTCTCTCTCTCTCTCTCTCTCTCTCTCCCTCTCTCCAGCCAAACATTTTCGTCTTGAGGAGGAGATGGTTTACCTACTTTACCCAATGATATCGAGTAGTTTTATCCAGAGATTTCCCATTGATTCCCCAATGTTCAATGTTCGCATCAGATGCTTTGTTCCATTTTCGGAGACAACGCAGCAAATTCATGCACAATCCACATTTGTCATGCTTGTTGCTTGGTGTTGATATAGGTTTTTCATTCATCCAGACCCACCACTCAATGGATTGGTTTAAGGGAACATTTACTTCGGAAACCCTATGTTTGAGGGAAATTGGGAAAAAAAGATGATGGCCTGTGGTTTTTTTTCCATATTCCTAACATACCAATCCATTGAACCACCTAAATCACCCTGGTTTCATCGGATCACCGATGACCACCAAGGTTCAGATACAGGGTCTTCAAGTGCGCCGAAGACCGACGACCGTTGTTGTCGACGATTCGACGACTTGATCGTCACGATGTTTATAATGATATGATGGGTATATAAGTTGGAATAACTTAGAATATAATACATAAGTATTTATATATATATATATATTTGGAATATTGGTCTGTAACTTGTCATATTGGGAATATACTCACAATATCAAATGATATTTGAATTAAAACGACCTCAAAAAACGTCAAAAAACGTCCTGGTTTTCTTTTCTTTTTCGGGGAGATCGTCCCACAAGGGCCGTGGATGCCTTGATCCTTTGGAAACGGGAAAATCCAATGGAAAATCATGGGAAAATCCATGGAACATCTGTTTGAAATGGGTGCCATGTTTGATTACCGGAGGCTATGAAGTGACTCTCTTTCCAGTGGTTGGGAGGGAGCTAGCAATATTATCCTACATTCCCCAAGAGAAATGGGGAGCCAAGGAGCTCCGCATTTCTGCGTTGATCCTTCGAGTGCCGTCTTCATATCACTCCTGACATCTCATGGCAGGTTGTTCCGCAGGCACTGGGAGGTGGCTATGTCATCTGAAAACTTGGATCTACTGGGTCAATGATCCATTGAATTCTACCGTTACGGTAAACTTAACCCGAATAGGAAAACATATAGGAAAACACACTATTTTTTTGAATGGTGTCTTTAACAGCTCTCGATTCATTGGAACATTGTCCTTGGTTTACTACTGGGTTTACCAGGCTTGCACTTTTGGACAAGGGATGACTGGCAACAAATTGGAATTCAGATGTGCAGAGAGTATGTATAGATAAGATATGTCCTGGAGGAGTTGCTGGCGGTTTCAAACATTGTTGTTTCCAACTCTATTTGGCTATATGACATTCAGTGAAATGACCAACAGGGTGATGCCCCCCAGATATGTTTAAGTTGCTTTCCAAGCCCAACAATATTACTAGCTTGATATATCAACCATTTCAACCCACAAGTGATTATAGTCATAGTGATTGTAGTTATGTGTTCGAACTGCGCTAATATAAATCATTAATGCAAAAATTAATAGTTGTGCATAAATCAATTATTATACATTACATGTTGCTTGGCCATTTCATGTTCCCCAAAACGTCGCTGGCGTCACCAGTCACCAGGTACACTTTGGACTTCGCTGCTAGCGCTGACATGTTCGACCAGGTGCCGTATCCGATGTTTGGCGTATCCGATCGGCATGGGGGAATCAATTCCCGCGTTCACAACGTGCCCTCCGGTAAACTGTTACATAACCATGGAAAATCACCATTTTTATGGGTAAATCATTAAATCCACTATTTCGACTGGGCCATTTTCAATAGCCAAGCTAGTTTACCCGAGGGTAACTGGTTGGTGCAATGTGGTCCCCCTTAGAAATCCAAGTTGGTTTAGCAATGTGTTGGTCAACTCCTAGGTCAACAAACATCCAACTCGGGGGCAACACTTCCTATATCCACCATGGATGAACGGGGGATGGGACCAAGATGAATGGGGGATGGGACGAAGCGATATTTATGTATATAATTAATGATTATAATATATGTATGTATATCTATGTATGTATAATATATATATATATCATTAACAATCAGTAAGCCAGCAATCATAATCATTCATAATCAACAATAAGCCACAATTAAGCCATTATTTTACCAAAGTTTAACCCATTCTTGGGGGTACCCTCTGGTAAACTAACATAGCTATTGAAAATGGCCATAGAAAGAGTGAGTTTTCCCATTAAACATGGTGATTTTCCATAGCAAAATGTTAGTTTACCAGAGGGTAAACCTCCATTAATCACCATTAGATCCCACTAAATCACCATGAAATCCCTTCTGAAATCACCATGAAACCACCAGTTTACCAGAGGATATGTGTTGATTCAAACTGGACGACAGGTGCTGCCCTACCTGGATTACTTAGAGTCCTGGATGGAGCCTCGACGTCGGAATCGCGCCGCCATTGGACTATGGATTCCATTAAAATTATCGCTGATTTCTTGGTTGCGCAAGGTTGTGAAATAAGGATGTGTATAGTATAATATAGTATAATATAGTATAATATAGTATAATATAGTATAATATAGTATAATATAGTATAATATAGTATAATATAGTATAATATAGTATAATATAGTATAATATAGTATATAACATAATATATTTCTTGGTTAGGATGTTATACTATTTATATGGGTCTTAACCATGAAAAATGGTTTATATTTATATATATAATATATATATATATATATAACATAATTTAACTGAAAACATAGAATGTGGTGCCCCCCAAGGTTTGTTGGTTTATAAAGCCAATGAATGCTAGTTTGTTCTAGAAGGATCAAATTGTTGCCATAGTCATTAGAGCTTCACCAAACTATCGAACGGGGGCACCACCTTGTGGGATGTTGAGCCACAAAAAATAGCCTGGTTGATTGGTTAATTTGTTAGGATTTATACTAACTAATTTATTGATATTTATTGGGGATTATGATAACCTATATATATATATACACATAGTAGGGAAAGCTAGAAAAAGCAACAAATCTTTCATGAGATGGGATAGAAATATGGGGTGTTGAAGCATGCAGCATGAGGAGTTGACAAGGAAACATGCTGGATTCATGGAAGATCATGAAGTGATATTGTCATGAGCAAAAAGCAGAGAACATGACATCAATGGGTTTGTACAGGATAGCGGTTGGAAAATTGTAGAGCAATAGTTACAGTACTACCATCTGGTTATTTAACATAGCCATGGAAAATCCTCATTTTTTATAGGTAAACCATCATAAACCATCTATTTCTATGGGCCATCTATACCATGGCTATGTTAGTCATAACCAGAGGGTACAATGAAATTGGGTATACACCTAGCAGTGGGATGCCAATGATCCACTTCCATGGATGCTTCGTGGGTTTACCATATCGGGACCCATCGTTTTTCAACAACGAAACCTGCCGGTTTCAGGCTGGTAAAACTTCCATAAAAAAGGGGAAATCAAAGCCATGTTTTTCCACGTACATTGTTACCCTCTGGTAAACTAACATTTTGCTATTGAAAATGGCCATAGAAATAGTGGATTTACCCATTAAAAATGGTGATTTTCCATAGCTGCGCTAGTTTACCAGAGGCTATTCTTGTTGATTTCTGTTTTTTTTGGGGGGCTCATTTTACACCATGAACTGCTTCCTTCCAAGCAACACCGAGACATATGTTTATATTGCCTGAGAAGGGCAAGTTTAATCGGACACGATAATGATTAGCCGATGGATCTATGGTCCAACGTTTTCAATCAACCATTGGTTATACCCTCCGGGAAACCAACATGGCATTAATGTTTGCATTAAAAAGTCCATTTATTGATGATTTCTCATTGCCATGTTTGATGACAGTGTGTACTTGGTGGCTCATCCCACCTAGTAGGTGGGTTATAACCCCAGTTATAAGTGGATGAACCCTACTTATCCCATTTATAACTGGGGTTATAACCCACTTACTAAGTGGGATGAGCCACCAAGTACTGATCTTCTACGCCCGGGCGAGTTTCCCGAGTTTCACCGCTCCGCCTGAGGCGGATTGGGATGCCACTTTGCAGATGGACGACAAGCGCAAGCTTTACTCAGACATTTCCAAGTACATGAGGCTGGGTAAATTATAACGACCTCACTGTTCTCCCTCACTGGAAATCATGGTTAGTAAGGTACATAGTCCCCTTTTATGGCCTTGATTCAGGTTAGTGAAATATTATAATTTACTCAGATGAGGTTTGGAATTGGGGAATAAATTACTTTGGAAATTGGGGAACAATTGGAGAATTTATAAGCTACCAACTTTCCTGTTTACACTGAGGCCTGGAAGAAATTGTGCAACTGTTAACAGGAAAAGATGCCAAAACACATGAATTTCCAGGGAATGGATATGTTCAAGTTTTACTCAGACCTTCGGGAAAATCTTGGGGGAAAATTGACTTTACTAATAGTAGGAGAGGGATATACCCTCCCCGTGCTACTAACTTGTCATTAGCCGAGCAGGTCATGTTTGCTCAACAATTGGAGCCACACTTTGTTGGATCTGAAACCGTCCATTTTTTGGATGCTCGTTCTATTCTGACCCATATAGATATCCTCTAGATCAAGAATTAGGGTTGGAGAATGGCCTGGTCGTTTTATCCTTTCCCATTTTTTTAAACAGCGTTCCGTGATGTTTCGAGATTTGGATGAAGCGGAACTGCACGTGAAGCGGAATTTCCACTCCCTGGGTTCCATCCATCCCCTGGAAAAGCAACAGATCTCGCTTTGGCGCAATGCCAAAGTCAATTGTGAACCGCGAAATGGGATGATCATCGAAAACCCAGATGCTCCATGTATGGAATATTTACCTACAAAACTGGTTGATTTTTGGGGTAAATGTAGGGATTCATATTCCAGCACCATGGAGCATCTGGGAAATGATTAAACCGACCCAGATAAGACAGACGCTCGAAGGGATCGGATCATGTTGATGTCGTAGATTTGTAGATGTTCAGCCCGGTCTGCAGTGAATGCAGGTTTCCTAAAATAATCTAAAATATGGATACCCCCAAATCATCTTTTTTTGTGTGATTTCCTATTTTGATTATAAACCAACCACCTATTGGGGATCCCCCATGACTATATGGAAACCCCCAATAACTCGATGCCACAGGACCTACGGCAAGAAGCCCGAAGCTTTCCAGTACCTGAAGATGTGCGCGATTTAGTCGTCACAGACGGTCACGTCGGGTCGGGTCCGGGTGATTGGGATATGGGAATATCCCAGGGATATAGTTGGGATATGATGTGGAGATAATGAGGAGAAATTACCGGGTTTCTTGATTTCACGTTCTTCAATATCTGTGGCTGTTTTTCTTTGGGGCCCGTGTTTTTTTTTTCAACCGCATCAAACCTCTGTGGGGTCAGCACCCAAGTCGGAGTCCCTTGTTGATTTCATCACGTGGCACGGACGTTCGCACAGCAGTATCGAATGGATGTGCATCCCAAGAATGGATCTGTGGTTTCAGTCCATATGTTAAAATATGTCACCCTAGATTTAATAGGGTACAATATATATATATATACACATATTTATTTATATACACTTGTTTTTTTGTTGAGCCCGTTTACGAAGTGGGGCTCGGCCTGCAGATGTCGAGAACTGCCGCAGGTACCACAGTCTCTTTCAGGGTGAGTCTGCGGACTTGCTGAAGAAACCTGAGGCCACCAGGATCTTTAGAACTGAGAAAACAACGGGCCGTGGGGACCCCCTGGTTATGTTTGTTGCTTTAGAACCTCATTGAAAATATAGTTATAAGATGTTAGAAGTATAATAAACCATAGTTTTTGGAGTTATGAACAACCAACTTAGCTATCGTTTGGGGGCCCCACATTGTAGGGGGATTATACTATATACTAGTACTGTACACTATGAATCATATATAGTCTTCACTATGATAGTTCACTAGTTCACTGATATACCCCAAGAACTTCTATTCATTTTTTTTAGACAGCATAAAAAATCGTTAGGGATCTTTAGGGTATATGCTTCCAATGAATAGAAGTTGAAGTCTTACAAACTTGGGGTCCTGGGGTTGATGGGTCCAGTGAACCTTCCAGCTTCGACATGGTCGGCAGTTTCATCGTCGCAGTTATAGGTCAGTAATATTGTTTATATACAGACAGTAGGTGATACTGGGGATACAATGGGAACCATAAATAGCAATTTCATTCCCTGCCATGGTTAAAACAATTAATGGCCAATATATGCCAATATAAGGATTCCTGTTGTGGGATGGATGACCATACTCAATCCAATGTAGTATACGCATATATAGATATATATATAGTATCATATCCTTTACCGCTTTTGAACAAGAACACATATTTCATATTTAATTGCCTTCGGCAAGCAAGTCGGCCATAGAGAGGTGGCGCCTAGGGAGTTTGATGTGCACTCTAGGTGGAAGCCCGTGAGAGAAGCAGAAGAGAAAAGAAGAAGACGAAGAAGAAGAAGAAGAAGAAGAAAGGAAGACGAAGACAAAGCCGTAAAACGGAAGCGGCTTGTGTAGCAAGTGCTAGCTGTAACAACCTGTTGATCGTATACCAAATTAGTACCGCCCCCAGCAAAGTAGCGCCAGGTACTATGGATGAGCCTCCAGGGTGAAAGCGGAGAGAGATTGCCCGTAGGGAAGTTGATGTGCACGCTAGGTGGAAGCCTGAGAGAGAAGCAGAAGAGAAAAGAATAAGAAGAAGAGGAAGAAGTGGATGCACAGGAAGAAGAAGAGACGAAGACAGAGCCGTAGATCAGAAGCAGCTTGAGTAGCAAGTGCCTGCTTGAACAACCTATGTGTCACATACCAATGAGTACTGGTCGATCAGTTTAGTACCGTGTGCATCCTGTGACGAGTACCTGTAGACGACTGTAATGCTGTAGGCAGTGTCATTAGCTACCGGCACTACCACTTTAGCACTTCCGGAAGAAGGGAGAAAGGAGCAGTAGAAGTAGGAGTAGGAGCACGCGTCAGAGAAGGAGTAGGAGTGGTAGTAGGCGTAGCAGGAGTAGCAGGAGTAGCAGGAGGAGGAGTAGTAGTGGTGGTGGTAGTAGTAGTAGTAGTATTAGTAGTAGTAGTAGTAGTAATAGTAGTGGTAGTTAGTAGTGGTAGTTAGTAGTAGTAGTAGTAGTAGTAGTAGTGGTAGTAGGGGTAGTAGGGGTAGTAGTGGCAGTAGTGGTAGTAGTGGTGGTAGTGGTGGTAGTAGTAGTAGTAGTAGTAGTAGCAGTAGCAGTAGCAGTAGCAGTAGCAGTAGCAGTAGCAGTAGCAGGAGCAGTAGCAGGAGCAGGAGCAGGAGCAGGAGCAGGAGCAGGAGCAGGAGCAGTAGCAGTAGCAGTAGCAGTAGTCAGGGGTTGGTAACTGTCCCATTTTGGGAATATTGGACATCACCATATAGTAGCCATTATAGACCATATACCTAATGGTTGGGTGATGTTTAATGGGGACATTTAATGACCCATGGTAGTAGTAGTAGTAGTAGTAGTAGTAGTAGTACCAAGAACAGAAACAAGAACAACACATTCCAATCAGACACGCCGGCAGGACGGCGGATTAGCTACCACTACCTCGGCACACGTCCCTGCATCCATACGTTCATATTTCGGCTGCTTGGACATTAGGCAAAATCTTCATTTGGTTTTGTTTGAAAGTAGGATAGGCATGCATATTACCTATCTAATCACATTTTTTGAGTGTATACCTTGTACAACTCATTTTCGGCAACCCCAGCAAACACATCATGGTGTTCCAATTCCCATATCATTCACGTAGCAATGGAAAAGCTCCCATTCATAGGGATTTTGTATTGCCAGATGGATTACCAAAGGGATTTTGTTCATGTTTCCATGTGCCACCAATGTAAAACATACAGTGTGGCACCCCGTAGATAGCTAAGTTGGTTTATAGATAAGGTGGTTGATGGCTATATATACCATTATTTCCATTTTCAGAATATCCCCAATATTGCCATCATATTTCCGTTATATCATTTTTGGTTGCTTATATGATTAGCAAAGGGTACAACGTGGTGCTTCCCATTGGCACATATCACCTAATGTAAATTGTTCCCCACATCTTTGTGTGGGGTTCTTGTTTTTGATTCTGTATCCCGGGCTCCTCCTCCGCCGCCTTCTCCTCCTCCGCCCTCCTCCACACTTTGTCACCATACACTTTGTCAACAAACACTTTCTCAACACACACTTTATCACCACACACTTTGTCCAACACACACTTTATCAACAAACACTCTCAACATACATTCAACATACACTTTATCAACAAACACTTTATCAACATACATTTTCTCAACATACATTTTCTCAACAAACACTTTGTCAACACATACTTTGTCACCACACACTTTGTCCACACACACTTTGTCCACACACACTCTCAACATACATTCAACATACACTTTATCAACAAACACTTTATCAACATACATTTTCTCAACATACATTTTCTCAACAACTTTGTCCACACACACTTTGTCACCACACACTTTCTCAACAAACACTTTGTCAACACATACTTTGTCACCACACACTTTGTCCACACACACTTTGTCCACACACACTTTGTCACCACACACTTTCTCAACAAACATTTTGTCAACACATACTTTGTCACCACACACTTTCTCAACAAACACTTTGTCAACACATACTTTGTCACCACACAAACTCACATCCACCGTCACAAACTCACATCCACCTTCGTTTCACGTGGCAGGCGTGGCACAAACTCACATCTACTGTCGTTTTGCGTGGCAGGCGTGGGACAGATGGCATTGGGTGGCGCGCTTGGACGGGCTTGGGCGCCTGTGACGCCGCGGCACTTTGCGTGGCAGGCGTGGCACAAACTCACATCTACTGTCGTTTTGCGTGGCAGGCGTGGGACAGATGGCATTGGGTGGCGCGCTTGGACGGGCTTGGGCGCCTGTGACGCCGCGGCACTTTGCGTGGCAGGCGTGGCACAAACTCACATCTACTCTCGTTTTGCGTGGCAGGCGTGGGACAGATGGCATTGGGTGGCGCGCTTGGACGGGCTTGGGCGCTTGTGACGCCGCGGCACTTTGTGTG